TGTTCTGAGTTAGGGTTGCCAGGTAAAATACAGGATGCCCCGTTACATTTGAATTTCAGATAAACAACTTACAACTTTTATGTTGTAAGTATGTCCTAAATGTTGCATAGGGTATACTTTTATGCTAAAAAAAAGTTCCGTTTTTCAAATGAAACTGGCGTTCCGTGTAATTGGCTAAATCTGGCACCCTGCCTGGCACCGGGGTGGTGTCTGGAGCTCCTGCCTCTGCACCTGCCGAGGATTGGGTGGAATGCCATGAGGAAGGGCTCAGACACTGCCCTGGGGCGTGGGGAGCCTGTGGGGTCCTGGGAGAGCTGGGGTGGGGCCGCGCTGGGTGGTACCTGGAGGTCCAGCAGCCCCATGAGCAGGGCCTTCCCGGCATGGGTGGCGTTTTTCAGCAGGTCCTCCCGCTTGATGACATTGATGACCTCGGCCAGCAGCAGGTTCTTGCACGGGTCCCCCAGCCAGGTGTTAAAGATCCGGTACGGCTGGAACGAGGCAGGGGGTTGGAAAGGTTCACACATGGGCACAGCCTTCAGGGCCCACTTCCCCTGGACACCTTGTCCCCATGTAAGAAGAGAGAAACTAACCCAGCGAGCACCCACTAAGGGCCGGGGAGGATAACACATATTGTCTCATTGAATTCTTTCCACAACAACCACCCAGTGGGGAGGTATGACTATTAGTGTAACTAATCAGGGAGGCCAAGTCCTCTGCGTGCAGGGAAATCCCTCCATCCTGGGGAAATCAAGATAGTTGGCCCCTAACATAATCTTCATTTTATAGAGGAGGAAGCTGAGGTTCTGAGAGGTTAAGTGATTTGTCCAGAAAAGATATAGCTCATAGGTAGTGGACTCAAGAGTGGATTGGTGGCAGTCTGGCCCTCAAAGACCACCCAGTTTATTCCCCCATGAATTATTCAGGGTGTCAGCGCAGCCAATATAAAACATGCTTCTCAGCCTCTCCTGCAGTTAGGAGTGGCCATGTGACCAGATCTGAGTCACAGTGTTGGAGAGAGGTGTTGTGGGAGTTCTGGGAAGGCCACTAAAGATAAAGAGAGGGACACTGTGTGCTTCCTTCCTTTCTCCTCTCTACTGCGTTGAATTGGGATGTGATGGCTGGAGCTTCAGAGCCATTTTGGAGCATGAGGCATCCTCGATGCAGGAGTGGTGGAAGGAAGGATCCTAAGGTCCTGATAACTGTGTGTGTGTGTGTGTGTGTGTGTGTGTATGAGAATCCATATTTACACGTGGTAGTACAGTGTGGTAGTTAAGAGCAGGGCTCTGGGTCTGAATCCTGACTTTATCCCTTAATGGGCTGTGTGACCTTGGACAACTTACTTAACCCACCCGTGCCCGATTCCTCATTAGTAACATGGGAGGGAAAAATAACACCCACTTGGTTAGATTGTTGTAAGGACTAAAAGTACATGAAGGGTGCTTAGAACTGGGTCAGGCACAGAGTGAATGCTCAGTTCACAGCAATCATTAACACAGAACATTTAGAACACTGACAGTGGACTGATAGGCAGCCAGGCCCAGCGGAGAGAGCAGGGGTGATCATAATCACTGGCGAATTAAATCAGTAAGAATTGGGCCTTAGAAAGCTTCTGTGGCACAGTCAGTGTCCGCTCCGTTCCTGGTTTGTGAGAGAGGAGCAGCCCTGAGAAAGCAATGCTGCTTCTCTCCCCTGCCCTGGAAGGAGCGGGAGGTGGGGGTGGGGTGGGGTGGGGGGGAGGGCGGGTGGTGGTGGTGGGGGTGTGTGTGCAGGCACTCACAGCATTGGGCCTGAGCTCCTCCCTGTGGAAGAAGCCCCCGGTCATCATCTTCTTGCTGAAGGTCATCACGTCTGCAGGGTCATCCAAGCCCCAGTGCTCGTGGGCCCAGAACTTGCCGGTGCAGCCCCCTCCTGTCTGGACCTCATCCACCAAGAAGGCACAGCCATGCTGGAGAGAGAGGAGGGGGAAATAAACACCCCCCACAATCGACCAACCTCCGACCCCCTCATCCAGCCAGAGAGGCCTTGCGTTCTGAACTGCAAGCCATGGCCATGTTCTTGGAAAAACTAAACAAGAGCTTAAGTGGGCAGTTCCAGCAGAGCTGTGTCTGCAGGGTTCCTGCTGCTGCCGAGCTGGAACCAACCAGAACATGGAATTCCCCCTGAACCAAAGCGCGGCAGCATCGCACCTGGCTGCAGTCCCTGAGCAAGCCGACCCTCTCAGGAGGAGACGTGGCCCAGCAGCAAGGCCAGCCCTGTTTCCCTAACAGCTGTCATCACCAGGACTGTGATTTACTTAGTGTTTGTGTTTAAATCGAGCCTTGGCATTTAACCTTCATCTGTGAACTTGCTGGTTGGATGTGCCGTTTGTCCATCCAGGGCATTAAAATAAACACGGTATTCACACAAAGTCTGTTCATGTCGCCTCTGTTGAATGTGGGCCACACTGGGCTGAAGGGTGAGGTGGGGTCTCTAGGAAGAAAAGGGTGGAGGCTGCGGCCTTTCCTGGAATCTGTTGATGAGAAAGCCTCTGACTAAGAGGGCAGGCTGGATGGACGCTGGCTTTGCAAAACGATTTCAGGGAAGAATTCCCTGACCTTTCCCTGCCCTCAGATTCTCTACGGTGCGGCCAACAGGCAGCCTCTGAACACCTGGTCGTTTACAAGGCCCCAAAGCTACTCTTTGCTCTGGGAAACCGGCTGGAAATGGCCCGTGGCCCTGTCCAACCTGGGCCCGTGCACTGACCTTCCTGGAGATGTCTCTCAGCTTCCGGAAGAAGTCGTCGGACGCGTGGTTGTCTCCACCCTCGGACTGGATGGGCTCCACGATGATCCCGGCCACCGTCCTCTTCTTTTTCCGATATTTCACGATCAGATCCTCCACCTGGATGCCACAGTGGGAAGGGACAGTGGCTCGTGGGGGCTCCTGACAGCACCCACAGATGGGCATGTGGGGGTCCCATGCCTCCCCCTGGAAGTTATGTTGAAAATGCTTTTGTGTGCACTTCCGGTGAAGACGGCGATACCCACTCAGAGCCACACATGTGGAGGGGATGTGTCCTACTGAGGACTGGGCCAGCCCCTGCGGAATACAGGCTGCTAACCTGGAGCAAATTATTTAACTTTCTGAAGCCTCACTTCCCGATCTGAGCAATGGGCATGCTGACAGAATCTATTGTTGTTGCTGTTATATTATTATTATTGGTAGGAGAGCCCCTTCTCTGCAGAACCTGGGATGAAAACTTGTTTAAAAAGCTGAGGCCCGGCTGGTGTGGCTCAGCAATTGAGTGTTGACCCAGGAACCAAGAGGTTACCAGTTCGATTCCCAGTCAGGGCACATGCCGGGTTGCGGGCTTGATCCTCAGTGGGAGGCATGCAGGAGGCAGCTGATCAATGATGTTTCTCTCTCATCAATGTTTCTATCTCTTCATCCCTCTCTCTTCCTCTCTTTCTAAAAATCAAGAAAAACATTAAAAAAAAAAAAGCTGAGGCCAAACTCATCTACAGGGATAGAAATCCAAGCAGTGGTTGCACAGAGAGGGGTAGGGGTGGGGATGGGGGTCCTGCATCGACTCCTCAGACTGATCCAAAGACATTTCCCAGGTGATAAGGTGCCATTGATTGGAACAACGGTTACTTGAGTACATTTATTTGCCAAAACATATTGAACTAGGCAATTATTATTATTATTATTATTATTATTTTGTTGTTAATTCTCACTCCAGGATATATTTTTCCATTGACTTTTAGGGAGAGTGGAAGAGAGAGGGAAAGACAGAAAGAAACATCGCTGTGAGAGAAACACATCAATTGGTTGCTTCCCACATGTACCCTGACTGGGGCCCAGGCCGGGAGGATTGAGCCTGCAACTGAGGTACGTGCCCTTGACTGGAATTGAACCTGGGACCCTTCAGTCTGCAGGCTGACGCTCTATCCACTGAGCAAAATCGGCTAGGGCTGAACTAGGCATTTAAATGAGTGCATTTTATGGTATGTAAATTATGTTAATAAAGTTGAAATTGATTTTTTAAAAAATCTGTTAACAGTGACAGGGTTGTATGGAAAGCCCCTGATTGTCTCTAAGTGGTTGTATTTCTTACATTCTTGTTCTAATATGGGCATCACCTTATAGGTAATAAAGAGTAGTGATTGTGGTACTTTACTCATAACTTAATAACTACACATAACTAAAAAGCACTAACCCGTACACCTGGCTAGAATAACAAGGACAAGCGTTCTCTGAGGCAGCGCTAAGGAAAGCCTCCGCTTGGAGGACGTGACTTAGGCTGGGTCTCCACCAGTCCCCGGGGAGCTCTGAGATGCTTCTCTCTGCTTTCAGAGAACCGTCTGCAAGTTGTCATCACGGGGTTACTTTCTCATTTGTTTGGAGCTGGGGCTTCTACTACCCCGCACTCTCTAGGAAGATGGCCACGAGCCACACGTGGCTGCTGGCATGAGCCATGTTAACTGGTCCAAACTGAGATGTGTCTGAGTGTAAAACACCCACAGGATTTCAAAGATTTAACACCAAGAAGAGAAAATCTCTCATCAATCATGTGTAAGTATTAGTTACATTTTGACGTGATACTATTTTGGATGGATTGGGTTCCATAAAATGTTACTGAAATTAATCTCATCCATTTCTTTTTACTTTTACAAAATGTGATTATTAGAAAGTGGTAATGACCTCTGTGGCTTGCCTCACCTTCCTGTTGGACAGTGCCCGGACTCCATTATCTTGTCTCTTTTATTTACCACGAAACACCCAACACCTTGCACTTCGCTTCCCGCCTGTAGGCATTAACTAGTACTTGAAAAGAAAGATGTGCCTACGAGGCAAACCAGCCTCAGAGTAGCCTTATTTGAGCTCAAATCCCAACCTCAAGAGCGAAAGCCATTTCCCCCAGCAACAGCATCCTTCCAGTGTCTTACATGGAACCCCAGTACGTGGGACAGATCAAAAGGAGCTCCTCTGGTTGAAGTGGAGGCAACAGGGGTACACGTCCTCAGGGGCCCCCTGCCCCCCGAGGCTCCCAAAGCAGCACCAGGATCCGGGAGAAGGCTGACAAACGCTGGACCAGAGGATCCTGGGCAGCCACCTTTCCTACGAGCTGCCCTTGTTCTGCCCATCAATTCACTTTCTCTAGTCTAGTCACTGACACTCGCCTCCAAAGACACGTGAGTGATGCTAAAGTTGGTACCAGGAGTGGGTTGATGGATGCTGGGTGGCAAAATCGGTCCCTATGTCCCTCCCAGGGAGAGCCATGCAGGCCCAGGTAAGCTCGTTGTTCCTCTTCTCCAGGTGAGGTATTGGGGTGGCGAGGGTACGGGGATGGGGCGTGGGAGGGTCTGGAAGGTCCCCTGTTACCTCTTCTAGGCAGCGGGCCTCTTCTTGCTGGTTCTCCTTCACAAACTCCTCCAGAGGGTACTTCAGCCGTGGGAACGGTGCGATGGGCCAGTCGAAGGAAGGGATGTCGATCTTGTGAATAGCTTTGGAATGTGTGGTCGCTAAGCAACCTGCCCCCCCCACAAAACAGGAGAGAGTGGTTGGTTTGGGGGAGCACAGTGAACAGTCTTCAAAAAGCAGATGGGCATTTCAAGTCAAGACCGCAAATGCCCAGGAGGCCTGTTGCCTGCAGAACCCCAATTCCCGTAACAGCCTGAAGCCGAAGCAGAACCCATGAACCGCGTGTGTGTTTGTGTGTGCGTGTGCATGTTTGTGCGTGTGTATGTGTGTGTGTGTGTTGCTTTCTCATTCATCACAGATTAAGCACAGGCTTTGAAGGCAGAGAGACAAAGGTTCAAATACTGGCTCTGCTGCGGGATGGCCTTGAATGTTTCTCTTCTTGCTGCGCCTCGATTTCCCCACCTGCAAAGTGGCAATAAAAATTCCCCCTCTGCAGAGCAGTGTGCATCAGTGAGACAAGGTGGGAAAACGGCCCATGCAAGATCAAAGGCAGCTGTTGATATAATTTCTGCTATTATTACTCTAACTGCCACTGGGGATCCCAGGGGAACCTCCTTACCCATGGTCCTCCCGTGGAACGCGCCCATGAAGGAGAGGATACTGTAGTCAGGGCAGCCAGGGGCCTAGAAACAAGAAGTAGCAGTCATCAGTCACGGTCGTGAGAAGTGGGGGGCTCTGTGGTTGCTCCTGAGAGCGCGGGGGAGCACCAAAGTCTATCAGGAGAACTGGGTGACCCTCCTCAAGCCAAACTCACAAACTGGACCCCCACTTCTCTAGCCAAGGAACAGATGTTTTGCCCACATGGCAAAGAATTTTAATCAAGAGATTTCACATATATATCTGAACTGTCTTCTCTTAAGTTCTGCACCATTTGGGCCCATTTTGTAGCCCAAGTCTAACATCTGGGCGAGCGCACTGCTCCAGGGCCCACTGCCCGCCTTTCTCTTTTACATCACCTGCCACTACCTGCCGGGCTGCTTGGGGCTTCTGAGTTTTCAACCCCTGTCTGCAGGCTCTTCCAGCTTCTACAGGCTCTCTCCCCGCTCCAGCCTGCTCTGGCTTCCACAGCAACCAGGTGGGCCAGGTGCGGGCAGGTGCCTCCCACATGAGGCTGAGCGGGGCACCTCACAGGGAATGCATGCCAGAGCGGGAGGCTGGGCAGGGAGGACCCCCGCCTTTCCATCTCCCCAGGGCGGCTGCCCCTGTGTTCAGGAGGGACATCTGAACTCCCCCCCCCCCGCCCCCAGTGGATGGCACAGCTGCATTTTCCTGACCCTCCACCTGGCCAGGAATCACACCTGTTTCTAGCTGACTCAGGTAGAACTACGGAGGATGCTGCAGAGGCAACCATGGGGGCCCCTCGTCTCTGGGAATTTGATACAGCATGTTCTTTGGCTGTACCTGAGACCCCAGGAAAAAGCTCTAAGACTTCCTCCTACAAACTACAGTATACTGTCTTGTCATTTCCCTTTGGTAAGGAAACATTTTTCTTGTTCCTTTGTATAAATATAATATATACACATCTTCACACATTTTTTGGCTGCAGATTAAACAGGAGGAATAAGATGCAAAAATATTGGTGGACTAGGATGCTCACAGATATCAAATGAGAAAGAGACAGGCCACAATCCACTTCTTTAAAAAAATGGCCAGGAGAGTTCTAGCTGATTTGGCTCAGTGGATAGAGCGTTGGCTTGTGGGCTGAAGAGACCTGGGTTTGATTCCAGTCAAGGGCACATGCCCAGGTTGCGGGCTCGATCCCCAGTGTGGGACGTGCAGGAGGCAGCCAATCAATGATTCTCTCTCATCATTAATGTTTCTATCTCTCTCTTCCTCACTGAAATCAATAAAAATATATTTTAAAAAATGGCCAGGAGAAAAAAGAAAAAGCTTAAGTTTACATAGGTTTGTATGAATATGGAGAATGGTATGGATCTATTGCTAGCAAGAGGTGGGATTAGGAATAAAAAATTAAGAAGGCACAAAAGAAAAAAACGGAAGTAAACAATCTCACTAGCCACAGGCATCCCATTATAAACCTGTTAGCAGGATATCTTGTAGTAATTTCCTGTATATTTATTTAGTGTCCATACAATTTATATTCCACTGTTTTCACTAAATTATACCACGGGTGTTTCCAAGCAAAGAGAAGCCCTTTCTAACGATTTTTGCTGCAGGATATTGTAGATGTACGCGGTGCGTAACTGAGTTCAGTGGCCCTTGATTCTTTTTTAATCAGCAGACATTTCTGCCTAAATCATAATGGGACCCCATAAGTGAAAGGGGGAAGGACAGGCGTGCTCTGATTGAGGCTGGCTGAGAGCTTGGACCTTCCTACTTGGTTTTCCTGTGGTCCCCGCCACCACTGTGCCCAACATTGGCCTCTTTGGTGACTTTGGAAACCCCTACACTTAACCCCTTCCCCCCATTGCCGGGTATATAGGGGCTTCCAGTCTTTTTGGTTATCGTTACAACCAAAAGACCACAAAATACCACAAAATACCACGTGCAGGCGTGCACGTACAGTGCGATTGAAACTTCGTGGCCCATGCGCAGAAGTCGGTATTTTGTGGAAGAGCCACACTCAAGGGGCCAAAGAGCCGCATGTGGCTCGCGAGCCACAGTTTGCCGACCACTGCCCTAGAGAATGCATCAAGCCTCCTCAGATGGGTTAAGCTCTGGCAGTTGTCCTGGGAAACTATCGTTCTGGGTCAGGGAGAGCTCCTTTCCCCTCGATACCAAGGGAATGGACTAGGGAGGCACAATCCTTGGGGACCCCTTGTTATGGACTGGATGTTTATCCCCCAAACTCATATGTCGAAGCCCTAACCTCAATGTGATGGTATTTGAACATGGGGCCTTGGGGAGGTATTAGGGTTGGATGAGGTCTTGAGGGGGCCCTATGATGGGATTAGTGTCTTTATAAAATGAGGCATAAGAGAGCTCGCTGACTCTCTCCCTGACATGGGGGGACACAGTGAGCAGGCAGCTGCCTGCAAGCCAGGAAGAGAGCCTGCCTGGGGGCACCAAGTCTGCTGGCACCTTGATCTTGGACTTCAACCCTGTAGCTGTGAGCGCATTTGTCATGGAAGCCTGTTGATGGCATTTGTCATGGCAGCCTGTGCTGACTGAGGACAAGGTCCACTGACTAGCGTCTCCCTGAGGGGGCTGTGGCGGCTCCCTCCTGGAGGAGAAGGGGCCCACTCCACTTACCTGGTTGACCATGCACGTCTCCAGCTCCTCTTTGGAAAAACCCGTTCGACCCCTTTCCTTGTTCTGATGAAACAGAACAGAACGAAATCTCAGAGATGCTCTGGGGAGGAGGGGCTTCCACTTTCCACTCGCCCACAGTTAGCCAGACAACCCGAGTGCTCGCTCAAGAGCTGATCTTATGTGTTGACTGAGGAATAGAGTGGGAACTTAAACTTTTGAACCCTGCAGTCCCTCGCCAATACCTGGATGTACATCAGTGTGTTTGTTGTGCATCATCGCCTGGACGTACATCAAACCTTCGGAATGACCTCAAGAAGAAAATGTTACATTGTCTAGACTGCCAGACATCTGACAGTTACGACCCTGGACCAACCTAGGGGCTGGAATACAGAACTGATTCTTCTCAAGGAGGTACTTTGTCCTATAAAGCTCCCAGACTTCTTCCTTCCTCGGAGCACTCAGAATGACCTAGTAGTGTTTCTGGTTTGCAAACCTTATGACCCTTGGATGAATGTTTGTTATTTTATTTCCAGTCAAAGCCCCAGACTCTGAGTATGTGCAATATGATCATTGCCCTTATGTACTGAAGTCTGAGACTGTTAACTGTCCTTGTGGTGAAATAAATAGATGAACACACAAGGTGCATCGCTCTTCCACTAGCAACTAAGATCTGCTGAGATATGTCATTCCAGGTAAAACCATGTAATTACATTAGGTAAGGTTGGTGCCAAAGCCTTGGCTCTCTGCGCCATTCCCCACCGGCATGTTTGGAAAGCCCCACCAGGCAGGGGCCTCCTCTCCTCTGGATTTTGAGTGTGGTCACTGATGTCCAATACTCTGGCCAGTTGGGATGAACAGCAGGACTAGGGGTGAGTGTGCAGCTGGGTGCTGGGGAGCCTCTGTGTGTGTGGTGTGTGTATTTGTGTGTGTGTGTCTTCGGGCCGCAGACCTTACCCGGTACCACATGAAGATAGTCTTGAAGGCGTTTTCATTGGAGCAGGAGCCGCAGGCCATGGTAATGAGCTGGGACATCCCTTTGGGAGCCACCTGCAGGCAGAGAAACAGCTGTGGGCTCAGCTCCTTCTCCACTCCCCTCCCCCAGCTGGAGCTGTGGGAAGCACAGGGAGGCTGGGACACCACCAGGGATTATCCTGGAAGCCGTGGGCCTGGGAGACTGGACTCCGGCTCTTCCAGGGGGTGGGGAAGCCCAGGCTGGAGGGCAGAGAGGAAAAAAGGGTGAAGAGAAGCCTAGTCTATCCTCCTGATGCAACTGCCACCCCTCTTCTCACATTTTGCAGGTGAGAAGTTGAGGTTCGGAATGATTTTAATTGTTGTAACAACTGACACCAAAACATCGAGGAGGGTTGCATAACATGCAAAGCTCCTGTCTCGGGACAAACATTAATTTTTCCCGAGTTCCCTTTTTTTCTGCACACAAGGTATCCCCTCTTTCCTTCGAAAGGAAAAGTAAAAATACTCTTTGTGAAAGAAACAGCACAAAGACTGACATAGAAACACCACATCCTGATTGCAAGGCTCCCAATCCTTTCCTTCCCCTGGTACCGCCTCCGGGAGCTCAGAGCTGCCTGTGCAGCGGGAGGACCTGGGCCCGGGTGGGGTGGGTCCCCGCAGCGGAGGCTGTCCCCACGGACTCACCACTCACCGAGAGCAAGGACTCCTGCAGCTTCTCCACAAAGTTCTCCGGAGGCAGGATTCCCAGGGCAGGTCTGTTGACGAACGTGCTCTGCAAAAAGGCCCAGAGACAGACTGTGATGCTCAGACCTGACCCAGCTCCCTGCGCCCCCACCTCGCTGCTCACAGGAATGGGGTCCAGAGGCTGATGGCGGTGTGTCAGTGCTGGAATGATGGATTCCCCGCACTTTTATTTATTTATTTATTTATTTATTTATTTATTTATTATTATTTGTAAATATATATTTTTTATTATTGATTTCAGAGAGGAAGGGAGAGGGAGAGACAGAAACATCAATGACGAGAGAGGATCATTGATTGGCTGCCTCCTGCAGACCCCACACTGAGGATCAAGCCCGCAACCCGGGAATGTGCCCTGAGATCAGGAATCGAACCGTGACCTCCTGGCTCATAGGTCAATGCTCAACCACTGAGCCATGCCGGCTGGACTCCCCTCACTTTTAGAGAATCCACTAGGATTTCTCTGGGTTTTAAAAAGTGCCAATTTCTTGGTTGTGATATAGCACTATAATTACACAAGATGCTACCTGTGGGGGGAACGGGGCAAGGGGTACATGGGACTTATTCGTACCATTTTTTTTGCAATTTCCTATGAATTTATAATGAAAAAATCCATCAAAATGGCTAAAAATTAAGAAATGGAAAATAATAAGTACTGACAAGGAAGTGGAGCACCTAGAACACTCATTCACCGCTGGTGGGAAGGTAACGGGGTTCGGCCACTTTGGGAGGCAGTCTGACCTTTTCTTATCACGTTAAATACATACGCACCCAGCAGGGCCACACCTAGGAGTTTGCCTAAGTCAGCGGTTCTCAACCTGTAGGTCGAGACTCCTTTGGGGGTCGAGCGACCCTTTCACAGGGGTCTCCTAAGACCATCGAAAAACACATATATAATTACATATTGTTTTTGTGATTAATCACTATGCTTTAATTATGTTCAATTTGTAACAATAAAATTGGGGGTCACCACAACATGAGGAACTGTATTAAAGGGTCACGGCATTAGGATGGTTGAGAACCACTGGCCTAAGTGAAGTGAAAGTCTGTGTCCACACAAAGACCTGAATAAACATGAATGTTTATAGCGGCTTTTGTTTGTATCTGCCCAAATCTGGAAACAACACCAAAGCCCCCTCCCCATGGGGAAAAGATACGTAAACTGTGATCTACGCACACTGTGGACTACTGCTCAGCAATAAAGAGGAACAATAGACTGACACACGCAAGGGCCAGAAGAACACGGAAGAATCTCAAAGCCTCAGGGCTGAGTGACAGTAGCTGGAACCAGAGGGTCACACACAGCAGGGCTCCATGTATACGACATTCTGGAAAAGGAGGAGCGACAGGGGCAGAGACGGGCTCATGGGTGGGACTGACTACAAACAGGCTCAGGAGAATGTTTGGGGGATGAATTGTACCACGTCTGGATTCTTAAAAAGTCTGGTGAAACCACATAACATAAAATTTACTATATTGACCATTTCTAAGTGCACAGTTCAGTAGTGTTAAGTACATTCACACTGTTGCGTGGCCATCACCACCATCCATCTCCAGACTGGTTTTATCTTGCAAAACTGAAACTCTGTATCGGTATGACACTAAGTCCCCATCCCCCCTCTCCCAGCCCTTGGCAACCACTGTTCTACTTCTGTCTATGAATTTGGCAACTCTGGGGACCTCATGTAAGTGGAATCATACAGTATTCACCCTTTTGTGATGGGCTTGTGTCATTTAGCATAATGTCCTCCAGGTTCATTCATGTTGTAGCATGTGATAGAATTTCCTTCCTTTTTAAGGCTGCATAATATTCCATTGTATGGATAGACCACATTCTGTGTACTCATTCATCCGTTAATGGACACTGGGCTGCTGTCACTCTTTGGGTCTTACAAATAGTGCTGCTATAAACACGGTGTGCAAATTGTCTGGATTAAAAAAAAAAATCCTCACCCGAGGATATATTTTTATTGATTTTAGAGAGGAAGGGAGAAAGAGAGAGAGAGAGAGAAACATCAATGAGAGAAACAATCAGTTGCCTCCGGTACTTGCCCCAGCCAGGGATCAAACCTACAAGCTAAGTAGGTGCCCTGACTGGGAATTGAACCCACAACCTTTTGGGGTATGGGACGATGCTCCAACCAACTGAGCCACCCGGCCAGGGCTAAATGTGTCTGGATTTTGACAGTGACTGTATGACTATGCCTTTGACAAAACACATATGACTATACACTACAAAGAATGGATTTGGCTGCAAATGGGTTAGACTGTAATTAAATAAACATGGAAAAAAGACACAGGGCAGCGGCAGCTCTAGAGCTTCTAAATGGAGCAGAGCTTAGGAGAGCAATCTTGTGAGGGAGCTGGCTAAACAAACAGGATGGGCTGGGTATGAGAAAGGCAGTGTTAGAAAATGACCTAGCCTCTCTTTGTTGACTCCTCTCCCCCCTAATTTTGATAGATGTGGGTTGAGAGAAGTATTTCTCTCTGCAAGGAAATCAACAGCGCAAGCCTGATGCTAAACAGACTCGCTTTTGATCGTGGGGCGAGGAGGAGGCAGGGCGGTTACTAAGAGCTTGTTTGTCCGAGGGTGGGTCGGCCCAGCCCTGGGACTGCAGAGCAGGGACGCAGGCCAAGGCGACCAGAGCCTCCACATTTCAAAAGGAAAGGGAAACGCAGATTTTAGTGGGAAATCGCCCCACGTTAAAATGCTGGCCGACATTTTCTTAAAACAATCGCTGGCCGAGGGACAGTCCCACACTCATGCGGCCTCACTCTTGAACAAGAGCAGCCCCCGCCTGGCTGGCTCCAGACACGCGCGTGGTTGCTGGTGTCCACGCGCCAGCGTTAGAGACACACACAGGGCCAGCGCTCCCAAATCTCCCCACCAGCCTGGCCTCAAATGCTTTCCTAAAGTGGAGAGAAAGATAATGCCCAGTTCTGGCAGGGCACCGGTCAGGGCAGAAGTTTCAACCCCAAGAGGCGTTAGTGTGCGTTGAGAGCCTTACGCTATTTTATACTCTGACCCGGCCTCCTCCTTTCCAGGCCTCCTCTGAACATACAATTTCAAACATGGACGAAGGCTACCCACTTAATTATTTATAACAACACAAAGGAGAGACTTTCTAAATGCCAACAGGAGGTTATGTGAGCTAAGCCACTTTAATTCGGGGTGACGTTCCGTGGCCAGTAAAACGGTGTTTAAAAGGTGACAGTTTTACATCAGGGTTCACTCTTGGTCTCGTACATTTTATGGGTTGTGACAAATGCATAAGGACATGTGTCCACCATTGTAGAAGAGACACGGGTGGAAATGCAGATGGAATGAGGGCAGAACCATCCCCTTCGAGGCCCAGCCAGTCCCCTGGCAGGACTGGGCACAGTCTGGGTGGGGTCTGCACGTGGGTAGACAGTGAGACCCCCAGGAATCGGGGTTGGGTTGTAAAAAGGGATGGTACTGAGTGCAATGGGGCACCTGGACTGGACCCCGGAACAAGAGCAGACAGTAGTGGGAGAACTGGGGAAATCGGAAGGAAGTCTGTCGTATGTAATGCACCAAGGCTAAGTTCTTAGTTTGACAAGGGTACCGTGGAGAGGTAAGGTGTCAACATTGGGGGGAGCTGGGTGAAAGGTAGATGGGAACTGTCTTTACAACTTGTCTGTAAATCAGAAATTAGTCTAAAATAACAAGATTCAATTGAAAAAAGAGGGAGGATGGGGTGAGCCTGGGATCTGGGGACTTCTCGGGTACCTCTCTCTTGGACACGGTTGGTGTAATTTACTCCATGCAAATCCAAATGGCGGCATCACTGCATAGGAGGAAACCCAAGGAGGGCGGGGGGTGCCCAGAATTCAGCTTCCTGGCTGTTTGGAAATTGGCTCCGATCGACAGACATTGTGGCAGGTTTACGCTCCAGACTAGGATAAGAGGTGGGGGAAGTTAACCCTTCTCACTGGAGAGTTGGGGAAACTGAGGACCAGAGAGGTCAAGCCACTTGACCCAAGTCACACAGACAGGAAAGGGCAGAACCACAACTCAAAGCCAGGTTTGCTGACCCCAGATTCCATCCTCTGCCAGACACCGCAGGCAGCCCTGCCTGATAATGTTAAGGATGGACATGAGTCTGCCTGGTACAACCGGGGACCTTGGCTGGCCCATCACGAGCTGAGGGTCAAGGTGAACCACCATCCCTGGCGGGGGTGGCGCGGCTCACACGGGACGGCGGGCTGGCTGGCAGCTTGACTGCCTATCTGGGCCCAGGGAAGATGTGTGGGTGATGTTCCTGTTTGACAAAGCGTGACAGTGAGAACAGAGGAGATCTGGGACATTGGGAAGCCGAATCAAATGAGGACAGGTTTCTGGAACACTTGCCCTCAGACTCAGCAGCTCTAACGCACAGTGTGCAGAGAATGGGCTTTGGTTTCAGCGGCTCAGATGCATCAGGCAGGCTACTCAACCTCTCTGGGCTTCAGGGCCTTCGGATGCCAGAAGAGGGACCCCCGCCCCCACCCGGGTGCTTGTGAGGAGCCAGTGGGACGCCGCAGCACACAGAGGGGGAGCTCGGTCTTGAAGGGCAGTCACACAGGTGGGAAGGCCTGGAGGTCAGAGGGATGGCACGCCTCTTCCCTGACCAGGTCAACTGCCCCATCTCCATCCCAGCTGCCCCATGTCAGACTGTGCTCAGCATTCGTTCAGTGGGAAGGTGCACGTGTGGTGCCCAATAATCATTGCATGACTTGTGGGCATGGCAAAGAGGTGGCCTGGGCAACGTAAGACAGAGTAACCGGACCCAGACATGGATCCAGGGGACACGGCTTCATGTTTCCCAGCCACCGGAAGCGATGATGTGGGGGCCTCAGGGTGATGTGATTGGGGTGCAAAGGGTCTTCAGCCCTTTCTCAGGATTTCAATGACTTGGCGGGAACCTGCCCAGGATAAGTCAAATACCACAGCCACCGCCTGAACACATCTCCAGCTGAGAATCTGGAAGACCCCAGATGTCAGCCAATGGTCCCCAGCCTGATGTGGGGGTGTGCCCGCTGAGCTCTGCCAGTCAGCTGCCGTTTCTCCAAGACTGTGCCAGCCACCCTGCCCAGCCCAGTCCTCTGCAGAGCAAGGTCAGCACTGTGATCCAGGCTGTGACCTAGACTGTGATCTCACCATCCAATCCCAGCACAGTGACCAGCACACAGTAGGTGTTCAATCAAGAGCTGGCCAATAAACAAATGTCAAGAAATAAAGCTGAAGAAGCAGGAGGCAGACCATGAGGAGCTTTGTACTTAAAGTGGGGGAGTTTGGGACGTGCCCTGGAGGCAGCGGGTACCTGAAACGGGTTCCATGCGCAGCGCAGTTGGAGATCGTCTGGAGCAGTGGTCGGCAAACTCATTAGTCAACAGAGCCACATATCAATAGTACAATGATTGAAATTTCTTTTGAGAGCCACATTTTTTAAACTTAAACTATATAGGTAGGTACATTGTTATTAACTTAATTAGGGTACTCCTAAGGCTTAGGAAGAGCCACACTCAAGGGGCCAAAGAGCCGCATGTGGCTCACGAGCCAAAGTTTGCCGACCACGGGTCTGGAGGAGATGAAAATGGATGTGGCGGGAAGAATAGTTGGAGAGGGGGTTGCTGGGAAAAATCAAATGGAAGATGCTGAGCTGCGACTGGCTCTGACTGGCTGAGAGGTGAGAGGTGAGAGGTGAGAGGTGAGGGGGTAAAGTGTGGCATCCAGGTTCCTGGCAGGGACAGGTCGGGGCAGGGCATCCCCCAAATTGGAATCCCTGGGGGAAGTCACGTGCTGTCGGGGACAATTCTGCCTCCCCAGGCAGCTGACTCTGCAAATGTGTGTGACATGTTTGTTGACACATTTTTTTCCAGCACCAACTGCTGAGGCATCTGGGATCTGCAAACGTTTCAAAACAAAGTCGGGCTCTGAGTGTAAACACCCCCGTGGAGCCTGCATGCCGGAGACACCCCCCAGGAGTCCTCTATTGCGGCCCCTGAACTTGTCAACTAATCGGAAGGGGGAAATGTC